CATAAAATAATTTGTCGTTTTTGATGTTTGAACGGGAGATGTTCGTATTATACGCGCAATGAATGTGTACCGATCTCTTTTCAATGCTAATATATTCAGAACAGTATGCGCTTCAAAAAGTTTTACGCAACTGTTTCAGAATTGGCAAGAAATTATTCCCATCAAAATGCGTTTCATCTGCTTCATCGTCTTCCTCATCCAACTGAGTTACACTCAAACCATCGTAAGTTCATTTAAAATTAAAGAATATAAGATAGCACTGCAATATTTTTAAGGTTTCAAACCTTTAGCTCAGTTTGAAATTGATGACTTCATAAAATTTGAGGAGCCGCAAACAGAACCGTTGGATTTGTCAATGACAAGAATGATTGAGAAACGGATTGGACCATCAGATTTATCACTGCAAAGAGAACCGTTGGATTTGTCAATGTCAAGAACACATATGGGGATTCATAAATTTGAGGAGCCACAAACAGAACTGTTAGATTTGTCAATGACAAGAATGATTGAGAGACGAATTGGACCATCAGATCTATCAGCGCCAGAGATAAGTGGGGGACAAGTAGAACTCAGCGAAATTGATCAGAATGATGCAAGACCGTTGAACCTATCAGTTCAAGAAGTGAGTAAGGAACAAACAAATACAGGGATTGAACCTAAGACATTGTCCCTTCAAAAGGAAATCTCAAGGCTGGAAGAACATACGACTAACACACCTAAGACGTCGTTTAAATGCAAAACATGCGGAAAGGGTTTTGCTCGGTCATCGGATATGAAGAAACATGTGAGAATTCACACAGGTGATAGGCCATTCAAATGCGAAATATGCGGGAAGGATTTCAGAAGGTTATGGGATCTGCGTTTACATAAGAGAACTCACACAGGTGATAAACCGTATAAATGCGAAACATGCTGGATGGGTTTTGCTCACTCATCAAACATGCGTGCACATATGAAGACTCACACAGGTGATAAATCGTACAAATGCAGAACATGCGAGAAGAATTTTGCTCAGTCATCGGGTCTGAGTCGACATATGAGGACTCACTCAGGTCCTTAATTTTAAGCTATTTTGGTCAATAGATGATAAGCATAATTAATTTATGCAAATCCCTTGTAACATTTTTTACAGTTTCATTTCATTTATTTCATTTCATTTCTCTTCAATTTTTCCAAACTTTTAAAACTGAAAATTTTTTCAAAAAAATTTTGTTGAGAGTGGGTAGCCAT